TTCTTGAGACAGAGTCTCGCTCTGTCGCCCAGGCTGGAGTGCAGTGGTGCGACCTCGGCTCACTGCAACCTCTGCCTCCTGGGTTCAAGCAGTTCTCTGCCTTAGCCTCCCAAGTAGCTGGGATTACAGGCGCCCGCGCCACCATGCCTGGCTAATTTTTTGTATTTTTAGTAGATGGGGTTTCACCATCTTGGCCAGGCTGGTCTTGAACTCTTGACCTCATGATCCACCCGCCTCGGCCTCCCAAAATGCTGTGATTACAGGTATGAGCTACCGCACCTGCCTTTAAGGTAGTGTTTGACCGTGGTTCTCATTTTGCATGTTTATATATTCTCTCTCTCTCTCTAACAATAGTGAACACTGAAGTAGAACTAACTCTGTGCCAGGCATCATTCTAAGTGCTGATAAACCTTACAACAACCCTGTGAGTTAGATATCGCCATCCTCATTTTATGGTTGAAGAAACTGAGGTACAGAGACATTAAATAATGTACCCATGTCACACAGTAAGTCCAAAAGCCGGAACTCAGACCCAGGCAGCCTGGCCCCAGAGTCTGTTAACCCTATACTCCTCTGGTTCTCAGAAATGAAGACATTATGTCGATTTAGTTTATTCATTTAAAATTGCTGCCTGATGTTGCACTGAATGCCATAATCTACCCATTCCTCTAATTACAGCATTACAATTCTGTAATAAGTATTCTTGTGTCGGTTTACTTGTGCAAATGTGTGGAAGTTTTTTGAGGTTATATATCTAAAAGTAGAATTACTAGGCCGAAGGACTGCCCATAGTCAGCATGACTAGGTTTTGCCAAGTTGCTCTCCAGTGTCCCAGTTTGTAGTCCCACCAGCAATGTAGGAAAATTCCCACTTTCCCAGTGCCAGCTCTTGGTATTGTTGACTTTAAAAATTTTTGAAAGATAAAGCAGTATTTCATTGTTTTGACTTGCATTTCTATTTTACAAAAATACCATGAGGTTTAAATGGCAACAGTAAACTTGCAAGGTGAGTTATTAACAGGATGATCATATAACTGGTCACCCAAACCAGAACGTTTGTGGGAGAAAGGATGTCCAGTCACACAGGACAGGGCAGCAGCCATAAAGAGAGTCTGTCCAGGCAAACCAGGGCAGACCTAGTTATTAAATATATTTAGCCAATGTATTAGTTCACATTTGATATAGTTGTGGTGCAGTATTTCCTACCATGTTACTTTCAAACAGGGCAGCTGTGTAAATGTTACTCTAGCTGGGTGTGGTGGCTCATGTCTGTAATCACAGCTACTTGGGAGGCTGAAGCAGGAGGATCGTTTAAGCGCAGGAGCTGGAGGCTGCAGTGAGCTATGATTGTGTTACTGCCCTCTAGCCCAGGTGACAGGGTGAGACCCCATCTCTATTTTTTTTTAAAGACAGTGTTACTCTGAATTTATGTTTCAGTGTTCTTAACTATGATAACATCTTTCTTGTAGATTAAGGTCACCGTTGCAGGTCTGGCTGGAAAAGACCCAGTACAGTGTAGCCGTGATGTGGTCATTTGTCCTGATGCCAGTCTTGAAGATGCAAAAAAAGAGGTTTGTAATCCATACATGGAGGTATTCCTTCATACGGCTTCTTTGTTTCTTGAAACGTCTAAGACTGTTGTTAGCACAGACTCATTTTAGAAAATGATTTTGCTTGAATGTCTTCCCCTGACAGATTAAGAGGGTGAGGATTTTGTCTTTCTATTCTATATCCATAGAATGTGGCAATTGCTTGATACTGAATGTGCTCAGTAGGTGGGTGGCTGGGTAGATAGGTGGCCGGTTGGACGTGTGGCGAGATGGTTGAGTTGGTGCTTGGATGGATGGCTGCATTGTTCTCCCATCAGTATTCTTCCGGCTTACACAGGCATCTTTGCCTCCTATTACACATTTTCACCTGCTATAAATCAACTGCCACATTTTCCATTCTTTTTTTTCTTTTTTAGAGGCATGATCCCGCTCTGTCCCCTAGGCTGGAGTCCAGTGGTGTAGTCACAGCTCACTGCAGCCTCAACCTCCCAGGTTCAAGCAATCCTCCCACCTCAACCCCCCAAGTAGCTGGGAATACAGGCATGTGCCATGTCCGGCCATTATTCTTTTTTCTAAAGATACTTTCAGAGTTCCACGTTAGTTGTGTTCCTTTTTCAGTATCTTTAGAATTATGACTCTTACGTTTAAGGACGATGGACACTTCTGGAAGCTAGCATCCCTTTCCTCAGAAACATGCTCCCCCACAGGCGCTTTTGCAGACTCCATCGTCAGGCAGGGTGACAGGAGTGTGGACTGTACCCTCTGACAGCAGAGTCATGGCAGGAAAGGAGGCAGAGTTGGCTCACGAATGGCTGGTTGTGCACTGCTGAGGAACCTGGAGTGCGATTCCCTGTGCTGTCCTCAGATACATAGGAAGAAGTTTAATCCTTTCTAATAAGTTCAGATTTTTCATTACTGGATTGTAGAAAATTAGACTGTTGGTATTTACATATGATTTGTTGAAACAAATTAAAAATGACAAGCAGAAGTAAATATTCCAGGCCAAGTGCAGTGGCTCACCTGTAATCCCAGCACTTTAGGAGGCCAAAGTGGGAGGATCACTTGGGGCCAGGAGTTTGAGACCACCCCGGGCAAGATAGTGAGACCCTTTCTCTGCAAATTAAAAATGTTAAAAGCCAGGCATGGTGGTGCACGCCTGTAGTTCTAGCTCCTCAAGAGGCTGAGGCAAGAGGATCACTTGGGCTCAGACGATTGCTCGAGCCCAGGAATTTGAGACTGCAGCGAACTGTGATTGTGCCATTGCCCTCAGCCTGGGTGACAGAGCGAGACCCTGTCTCAAAAATAATAATAATAATTTTTTTTTCATTTCTGTTTGTGTTTGTGTCATACGGTGTCTGGCCATTTTAAAACAGTGATTACGTTTATTTTCAATCGACAGATAATAAGTGTACATATTCATGGGGTGCGTGATGTTTCCGTGCATAATATATAGTGATTGGATCAGAGTAATTAGCATATCCATCATCTCAAACGTTTCTTTGTGTTGGGAACGTTCAATATCCTCCTAACTATTTGAAGCTGTGATTGTTAACTACAGTCATCCTACAGGGGTATAGAACACTAGAACCTATTCCTCCTATCTAGCTATAATTTTGTATCTTTTAACAAATCTCTCCCTATCCCCACTTTCTTCTATCCTCCCCAGCCTCTAATATCCTCTGTCCTACATTGTACTTCTATGTGATCAATTTTTTTTTAGCTTTCACTTATGAGTGAGAACATGGAGTGTTTAATTTGCTGTTCCTGGCTTCTTTCACTTAATATAATGTCCTCTAGTTTCATTCTTGTAGTCACAAATGACAAGATTTCATTCTTTTTTATGGCTGGATAGTATTCCATTGTGTATAAATGCCATATTCACATTTTCTTTATGCATTCATCTGTTGTTGGACCTAGGTTGATTTCATGTCTTGGCTAGTGTGAGTATTGGTGCAGTAAACAAGGGGGTGCAGGTGCCTCTTCAGTATACTGATTTCCTTTCCGTTGGCTGCTTTCCCAGTAGTGGGATTCTAGACCATATGGTAGTTCTGTTTACTGTAGTTTTTTGAGAAAGTGGTGTTACCTTTTGTGTGTTTTTGTTCTTCAGTGCAGATTCTAAAAGGGGTAAAATTAATTCTATACTTTACACATTTTCTTTTGAGTTTTGAGCTTTGCTTGGTTTTGAATCAACAGTAGGATGTTTATGGTCTTAAAAGGGATTCTAAGCCCGCCACAGTGGTTCACACCTGAAATCCTAGCACTTTGTGAGGCTGAGGCAGGAGGATTACTTGAGCCCAGGAGTTTCGAGACCATCCTGGGCAATGTAGTGAGACTCTGTCTCTACAAAAATAAAAAAAATTAGCTGGCTGTGGTGGTGCATGCCTGTAGTCCTAGCTACAGGGGAGGTTGAAGTGGGAGAATTGCTTGAGTCCAGGAGTTCAAGGCTATAGTGAGCTATGATTGCACCACTGCACTGTAGCCTAGGTGACGGAATGAGACCGTGTCTCTCAAAAAATTTTATAGGTTGCACTAAATACATAATACATTTTTATTTTGTAATTTGTTTAATGACTAGATTTTTTTTTAACCTCTTTTTAAAGTCCTAAAGTATTGTTGGCCGGGCACAGTGGTTCACGCCTGTAATCCCAGCACTTTGGGAGGCCAAGGCGGGTGGATCACGAGGTCAGGAGTTCGAGACCAGCCCGGCCAAGATGGTGAAACCCCATCTTTACTAAAGATACAAAAATTAGCTGGGTGTGGTGGTGGGTGCCTGTAATCCCAGTTGCTTGGGAGGCTGAGGCAGGAAAATTGCTTGAATCCGGGAGATGGAGGTTGCAGTGAACTGAGATCACTGCATTCTAGCCTGGGTGACAGAGCAAGACTCTGTCTCAAAAATAAATAAATAAATACATAATAAAATAAAATAAAAATAAATAAATAAAAAGTCCTAAAGTATTGTTAAAACAATTTCCATTTTGTAATTTCAGGAAGTTTGAAATTAATTAGATTTCTAGGATTTTTTTTTGGGGGGGGATACTCAAATTCTCCCCCGTTACATTTTTCATAATGTTAAAAAAAAAAAATTTGTGCCTTTTACTTAAAATTTGTTTCTCTATTAATTTTTTTTTTTTAAGAGTCTTACTCTGTTGCCCAGGCTAGAGTGCAGTGGCGCAGCCTCAGCTCACTGCAGCCTCTGCCTCCTAGGTTCAAGCGATTCTCCTGCCTCAGCCCCCCAAGTAGATGGGACTACAAGTGTGCACCACCACGCCCGGCTAATTTTTGTATTTTTAGTAGAGATGGGGGTTTAGCCATTTTGGCTAGGCTGGTCTTGAACTCCTGAACTCAGGTAATCTGCCCGCCTCGCCCTCCCAAAGTGCTGGGATTACAGACGTGAGTCATCGTGCCTAGCCTGTTTTTCTATTAATTTTTTAAGTTGCTCATGTACATTCTTATTGAACAATAGTTGAAACAATATAGACACATATAAAGTCAAAATGTTAAGTGTCCTATTCTCATTCTACCTCTGCCCCATCCCACACTACTCCTGTTAGCAACTAGAGTGTCTTCCTTGGTCTATGACTACCTGTGTACACAATATGTCAGGTGGGGGTGCTTGTGATGATTGTACTCATACACGCATACATCTACACATAAATACATATATCATTGTCTTTTACAGGAAGGAGATTATACTACCCCTGCTACTCTGCAGCGTGGACATCCTTGCATGTCACTATATACAGGTTTTTTGCATTTTTTGCTAGTTAAAACAACATTCCATCATATGGATACACCTTAATTTATTTAACTGTTCTGTTGGCAGATATTTAGGCTATCTCCTGTGCTTCCCACATTTAAAATAGGGAAGTGTTACTGGACTGTCACTTTAATGCACAGTTGAAATGAAATGTTTTTGTTTTCTTTATGTTTTAAACTGTTACAGGGACCGTATGATGTGGTGGTTCTACCAGGAGGTAATCTGGGTGCACAGAATTTATCTGAGGTAAAAATTCTACTCAATTATACCTCAATAAAGCTGGGGGGAAAAAAACTAAAGAATTTCAGCATCTGCTTGTGTTCTGTTGATTTTGTTATTATTCAGATGTTTCAGGGAGGAGGCTGTGAAAAAAAAAAGAAACAACTAAAATTAACAAAATGGTGTTGTAGCATTAACTCAAAAATTTCTTTCTTTCTTTTTTTTTTTCTTTTTGAGACAAGAGTCTTGCTCTATCATCCAGACTGGAGTGCAGTGGCACAATCCTGGCTCACTGCAACCTCCGCCTCCTGGGTTCAAGCAATTCTTCTGCCTCAACCTCCGAGTAGCTGGGATTACAGGCACGCACCACCTTGCCCAGCTAATTTTTGTATTTTTATTAGAGACGGGATTTTACCATGTTGGCCAGTCTGGTCTCAAACTCCTGACCTCGTGATCCACTCACCTCGGCCTCCCAAAGTGCTGGAATTATAGGCATGAGCCACCACACCCAGCCTCAAAAAAACGTTTTTAATATTTTCTCTGGAGGTCATGCGCAGTGGCTCACACCTATAATTCCAGTGCTTTGGGAGGCTGAGGCAGGAGGATTGCTGGAGGCCAAGAGTTTGAGACTAGCCTAAGTAACACATCGAGACCCCATCTCTACAAAAATTTTTGTTTTAATTAGCTGGGCACAGTGGTGCACACTTGTAGTCCCAGCTACTCGGGAGGCTATGGTGGGAGGACGGCTTGAACCCAGAAGTTTGAGGCTGCGGTGAGCTGTGAATGCACCACTGCATTCTAGCCTGGGCAGCAAAGCAAGAACCTGTCTTATCCAAAAAAAAAAAAAAATTGCCATGGAAGTAAGCTGAATTGGTGGAACCGTTATGAACAGATTTCGGTGAATACAGTCCAAAGTAAGATGATTTAGTTTTTTTCCACCAGCAGAAGAATGATCAGATTTTGTGTTTTGGGAAGGGCAAATTGTCTACTCAAAGTCTGAAATGGGGGAGGCTGTGGGGCTAGGGCTGCCAGCAGGAATGACAAATGCCATCAGCAGAGACCACTGTTCCTCATTTTAAGTTGTATGCGAGGAGTCAGAGGCCAGGGTGAGGTGAGGGGCACACCAGCAGGCAGAGTTGGGGCCGCCAGAAGCACTCAAGAAGTGGGTTGAGTCAGACATGAGGGATCATTTCCTGCTAGATTCTCTTCCTCTATCTGCCATCTGAAAACACCCAAAACACCACATTCCCTCCTCCTGTTTGTTTCTCCATGGAGTACAAAATGGCAAGGGTCAAATTGCTTCTTTCTTCTGATCTTTACATGTGGAGGAATGCGTTTCTCTTATGAGAAATGCCTTGCTTGGGTTTAATAATATAGACACATTTTGATCATTTTTATACCAATGATTTAGAAATATTGTTGGAAAATAGGTCAGAGAGCTTGTGGTTTAAGCTAAAATCAAATTCTTCCAAAGTTTCCTAGTGAGTGATTGGTTAGTGGCTTAGTGTTAACTTGATGTATTTTTGGTTTTCTTTTCACTAGTCTGCTGCCGTGAAGGAGATACTGAAGGAGCAGGAAAACCGGAAGGGCCTGATAGCCGCCATCTGTGCAGGTGACGTGCAGGGGCAGCCTGTGTTGCAGCGTCATTGGTGGGTGGGGTAGCCTTTCATTCGGTGGTTTGATTTCAAATAGCTCTTCCCCTTCATGAAGCATGCAGGGTGTCTGTGTTGGTGTATTTAGTTTGGGTGGCATGAAGTTGGTGTCATTTCAGAAATGAGGACAGTTGTTCCGTTTTCTGCCTCTCCATGCCTTTGGTCTACGTGCTGTGAAACTTAGTGTTTTCCGTGTTTGGTTGACCTCGGAGGAAAATAAGGCCCTCTGGAATTCAGTAAACAGCTTGTTACAGCAGGTCTCTGTGCCAGAAAGTCTTTGTGCCAGCACACAGTCAGCAAGAATCCGTCAAACATCAACGCAGCAGCTCTGCCCTGTGCTTGCCCTGCAGATTCAGAAGCCGTGGTGCTTTCTGCTGGCTTCCGGGCGTTTCTGATTCTCTCACTGCCGAGTTATCTTGGGCACCGCATTATCTGCCACACAATTTAGAATAAGGACATTTGGTGCTTCACAGATGTGCCTCATTTTTGTATCCTAGTAATATTTTATTTTCTCATAGCCATTTTAAAATCCATTCTTGTTGCTTTCATATCAGATGATGTTCTACCATCTTGGTTTTTTCCCATGCTGTAATTTTTGCCAGCACCTTCCTTGTTGTGTAGGTCTTCATTAAATATTTGTCAGGGCCGGGTGCGGTGGCTCACGCCTGTAATCCCAGCACTTTAGGAGTCCGAGGTGGGCGGATCACCTGAGGTCAGGAGTTCGAGACCAGCCTGGCCAACATGGTGAAACCCCATCTCTACCAAAAATACAAAAATTAGCCAGGCGTAGTGGTGCGCACTTGTAATCCCAGCTACTTGGGAGGCTGAGGCAGGAGAATCGCTTGAACCCAGGAGGCGGAGATTGCAGTGAGCCGAGATTGTGCCATTGTACTCCAGCCTGGGGTACACGAGCGAGACTTCGCCTCAAAATAAATAAGTAAATAAAATTAAATAAATAAATCAATATTTGTCAGAAGAGTGAATGAATAAATGAATGAATGGATGGTTTGGTAAACATCAACATCAAAAGATGTTGCTATGTTGTTCAACACAGTAGGCTTTTTAAAAGAAGTTTCGGGCCAGAGGTCCTAGGGACTTGATACATTCAGTCAGTGGTTCTCAATGTTCTTTTGGTGCACTTGCAAGGTCAAAGCAGATACTACTGAGGGGCCAGGTGTGGTGGCTCATGCCTGTAATCCCAGCACTTTGGGAGGCCAAGGCAGAAGGATCTCTTGAAAGCCAGGAGTTTGAGACTAATCTTGGCAACATAGACCCCATCTCAGCAAACAAACAAACAATTAGCCGAGCACAGTGCTGCATACCTGTAGTCCCAGCTACTCAGGAGGCTGAGATGGGAGGGTTGCTTGAGGGCAAGAGTTAGAGGCTGCAGTGAGCTATGATTGCACTCCAGCCTGGGCAACAGATTGAGACCATGTCTTTCAAACAAAATGTTGTTTGCCTTTTTTCTTCTCAGTCTTTCAGGAGTGACATCAGAGTGGGATGATACCATCATTTGAGCATCTATTACTGTGTTTTAAAAATTTCCCAGTTTTATTAGGTTGGTGTAAAAGTAATTGTGGTTTTTGCCATTAATAGTAATAATTGGCCGGGCATGGTGGCGCATGCCTGTAATCTCAGCACTTTGAGAAGCTGAGGTGAGCGGATCATTTGAGGTCAGGAGTTCAAAACCAGTCTGGCAAACATGGTGAAATCCCGTTTCTATTAAAAATACAAAAGTTAGTTGGGCGTGGGCGTGGTGGTGCACGCCTGTAATCCCAGCTACTGTGGAGGCTGAGGTAGGAGGATCACTTGAGGTCAGGAGTTCAAAACCAGCCTGGCCAACATGGTGAAACTCCATCTCTACTAAAAATACAAAAGTTAGCTGGGCGGTTAGCTGGGCATGGTGGTGCGTGACTGTAATCCCAGCTACTCAGGAGGCTGAGGCAGGAGAATCTATTGAACCCAGGCGGCGGAGGTTGCAGTGAGCCGAGATGGCGCCACTGCACTCCAGCGTGGGTGACAGAGCAAGATTATCTAAAAAAAAAAAGTAATAATTTTTAATATGGCAGATGTTCATAGATATAACCCACATAAAAGCTAAAGATTCTGAGACCTAAATGTTTGAGAACCCTGGCATTAGGGGCTGGGAAGAACCACAGCGGTCGACCACCCTGGCAGGTCTTGTACATGGGCTTGCTACAAGACTCATCACTAGCCTTTTGACCTGCCCTGAGGCTCAGGTAGTTATCTCTGCCAAAGGGCACTGCAGGCACTGCAGTCACTGCAGTCACTGCAGCCCAAGCAGGTGTACCCCTCTTTGGAGAGAACGTCACAGATCCTTGAGTTTGATTTTCCTTGGCTCTGCTGCTGTGAAGCAAGCCTCAGTCCTAGATGCTTTGAACAAAGGAAGAAAGTTAAGAGTTTGGGCTGAGTTTGTTTCCTTATGATTCTGCTGAAAGTAAAAACCGCAAGTCAGTTTGTCCTGTGCCACAAAAGTAGCAAAATGATCAGCCATGGCTGGGCGCGGTGACTCACACCTGTAATCCCAGCGCTTTGGGAGACTGAGGCGAGTGGATCACCTGAGGTCAGGAGTTCGAGACAAGCCTGACCAACATGTCGAAACCCTGTCTCTACTGAAAATACAAAATTAGCTGGGCATGATGGCTCATGCCTGTAATCCCAGCTACTTGGGAGGTTGAGGCAGGAGAATTGCTTGAACCTGAGAAGTGGAGGTTGCAGTGAGCCAAGATTGCGCCATTGCACTCCAGCCTGAGCAACAAGAGCGAAACTCCATCTCAATAAATAAATAAATAAAATAATAATAACAAAATTAGCGGGGCATAGTGGTACATGTCTGTCATCCTAGCTACTTGGGAGACTGAGGCAGGAGAATCACTTGAACCCGGGAGGCGG